AGATGGGCCTCAAACTCCGCACACGCTCATTATAAGGTTCCAGGCAAGTGTTTTAATGGTTGCAGCTTGCACTATCCAAAATTGTTTTTTCGCCCCACCCTCGGGCAGGGGGCTGCTGACGGGTAGCGTCCTGCGCAGAGCGGCTTGACCTGTCGGCCAGGCCTCAGTCAGGTCATGTCAGGTTGTCGCTGACCGGTAATGGCATGGGTACAGTATGACGTATGACGGCAGCGTGTCTGGCACAGCAGCACCGCCCGGCACCGACTCGGGAACGTCACCGCTGCGTGGTAACGCTGCGGACGTCACCGGGTGGAGGCCATGTCTCAGACACGGCATCGCTGCTCCGTGGCGACTCCAGTGCAACACCGCCGTTCAGGAATGTCGTGGGCACGGTACGGCTGAAGGCAACTTATTGGAAGCAGCGCTGCAGTACTATCGCCACACGGCGTCTAAGGGCGGCGTGCCAAAATCACGCCAGAAAATGGTGCCACAAAGACCGAGTGTCTTGTCGAGTGTTTGCCAAAGCCGTCAAAGAGACCGAATTCAGCGGAGTATTAAGTATATCCATGAATGGAAGATCTCAGTAGCTTTATAAATTTTGAAACGGAACCTCGGTCTGTGAAGAAGACCGATTTCAGTGAAAAATTCAAGCTTTTCACCAAAAGGGAATCAAAGTTACAAAAACATAGACAATTTAGAGGGCAAAAGTTTCTTGATTTCAAGAACAGCTTAGGGCAGAGAGCCACCTGGATTAGTTCGGCCCTGTTTCCATGGCGGAGGGAGAGAAACACGTGAGAGGGTACCCTGGCAAAGTGGGTGACATTCTGAAAGGGTGACATGGACCTGGAGGCTGCCATTGCGTGCTGAAGGCCGTAAGGGGGGGGGGAGGAGTGGTAGTGGCGGGGGAGCTAGATAAACAGAACAAATTGCGTGAGGGATCCCCAGACGAAGCTGTCGACGTCACAAAAGAAAATTACCTTCAGCAATCTTGCCATTGCGGAAAAATTTCCCGAACTCAGATGCCGCCGCGTCCGCAGCTGGCGGAACAGACAGTGGCTGAGAAAACATGGCTGGGGGATTGCGCCGTAACCATGGCGACCTCCGGCCGGCAGGAGACGCGTCATCACCGCAGTGGGAACCTCGCGGCCGGAGGGTCGGCGCCGGCGACTGCCGCTGAATACCGCCGCCGGCCGCGGCGTCCGGAGAGCCGCGGCTGCCGCGCCCGCCGGCGCCGGCCATTGTGGCCTGCTCCGACGCCGTCCAGGCGGCACATTCACCCACGAATGATTGGACCACTCGGCTGAGAGCGGCGCGGGGCGGGCCGCCGCCCTCACAGCCACCTGTTGCTTTCATCTGCCGAGCGGTGGGGCGCCGCGCGCCTGTGTGAGGGTCTGGGAATGACGTTGCTCCCGTGTCACTTGCTGGTAGGGTCGTATCTCGCCGCGACGCTGGGCAGCGCCTCGCGGCCGTGGAGACGAGCCACACCGCTTCAGAACGCACCGCTCCAAAGGGCATTCCGAGCGGCCCGCGCGAGTTGTTTCCCAGAGTAGGTAAAACGTATTGAACAGACCCGCGGTCACGAGGCTTGCATACCTTTACGACTGTTAGCGAGTTGTGCGATTTTTGGCAAACGTTTGCGGAAATTTCCGATGTTTCTCTTTGACTGCTTGGGCGCATTAAAAGCGTATAGCATGCTCTACATAACTAATTAATTTGGCATTTAGCAAGCTCTACATAGCTGACCTTCACCACACCGGAAGTGGCTGGTTATACGACGATTTATATATATATATATATATATATATATATATATGTATATATACATATATATATATATGTATATATATATACACATATATATATATATATACATATATCCGTCATTTTATAGGACATATCCTTATCGTACGGCGTATTGATTGTTTCGTATAGTCGTACATCTGACGTCTCCTGGTATGTTAAATGCTGACAGATAATACGGTGCCCATCTGTGGATGAATTCCGACCATACTGGGCACTTATAACCTCATTCTTCATAGGCTTACGCAAGACTTAGTTTGGCCTCATGACGTAGGCTGCCTCTACCCACACATATTTAAAGTTAGCCGATTTTTTCCGCCCAAAAAGAATGGAGGGGAAAAACCAGCCTCTGAAATTTTGCGTCAGATGCTGAGTGTTCAACATGTTTTTCGTCGTTTGCGCCGCATATATGTGTTTTGTCCTGCGGATCGGCCCGAAATCGGGTTAAAATCCTAGAGACCCAGATATGATTTAATACACAAGTTATTTGGTTACAGAACAGCAGTTAGGTGAATTTGAACAACACCATCGCATATGTTTGACACATATGGATTATTTCCTGCGGTCAGGCGAAAGTAATCTTCTGAGGTTGCGTGGCTCACTTCGAACGCGTGAGTTATGAGCGCGTCATTTACCTCTCACACCGTCTGTTGAAACGCATAGGTGTGCCGATCCTCGTACTGCTCAGCCCCAAGTCCCCCGTATGACTTAGACCCATAGCTCCCTACGTTTTCAAAAATTACCTAATTTGCATCGTTCTGATTCTTTGGCAAGGTTTGATTCGAAATTCATTAGGACGTGCGTTGCCGCTATTTCAAACATTATGCACATCATGGCAAGGGTGGTCTGGCATTGGACATGCTGTGTGTCATAGCATGTGTGAAACGCGATAAGATACTTGAGGTAAGTGTAGCATCACGGTCTTGCCGCTATTTTCGTGTCGTTCCTCTTCTTCCTATTGGTAAACGTCATGTCTCATACATGTTTCCCACTACAGGGCGTCGGAAACGCTAAATTTCTTGCACAGGGACAATTGTCGGGCACAGACGATCTCGGAAAAGGAACACTCAGGCACACGCACTCCTATCATTAATAATAATCAGGCATTAAACGGTTGTTCCTACAAACGTTATGCTTTCCTTGGCCCAAATAAGTCATTTTAGAGATACTTGAAAATCGAACAATTCTGCCAAAAGCTACGCCCACAGCTGAGGGCTCCGAGCTGATAAGTCAAGTGAACAAGCTGGGCTCACTTCCTGGAAGTCGGCCATTTTTATACATGCCCCGTTTTATGTGTGAACCGTACTGAAAAGCTAAGTGTTGAACCGTTCGAAGTCAAAACTCCGCGTTTCCAGCCTGGTGTACAAAGGCAATTCAAATGGCTGTCAGCTTTGAGGACCCACCAGTGACGTATTGTCTCCTGAAATGGACACTCCCGGTATGTCAGCTAAAGCACGATCCATCACGACGCGCCAAATGCATGAAGATGAAGCACATGCTTCTCCGCAGCAACGTTTATGGGGAAGGCTGGTATTTGCGTAGGATCTGAACATATAACATTCTTCCTTCTTCTTAGACCGCTTTTCTGATGTTTGTTGTCTGTGATTTGGCAATATCTAGGATACACACGCACACACACACACACACACACACACACACACACACACATATATATATATATATATATATATATATATATATATATATATATAAATATATATGTACATATATTTTTTTGGTTCTAAAGAATAAGAAATTACGCACTACTATTTGAAAACATCTTTTGGTACGGAGAACACAAATGAAGCATGGCTAGTTGAAGTAGGACGTATATATATATATATATATATATATATATATATATATATCCTAGACATTGCCAATTCATAGACAACAAACACCAGACAAGCGGTATAGGAGGAGACAGGAATGTTATATGCTCATATCTTAAGCAAATACCAGCCTTCACCATATACCTTGCTGCAGAGCAGCATGTGCTCAGCGAGCCGAGGTTGTCATCAGGTTGATGGCAGCCCACTCGAAGCCGGCCGATCATGTCGGCTGACTGTGCTTACCAGCCTGCGTATGTATGAGATGATCAGCCTGAGGTGATCAGCCTGAGGTGATTGCCCGCCGAACAGAGCCGAACGGCACCGAGCGGGGCTCGGAGGCCGCCCGACCAGCGAGCGCTCCACTCTGTAGAAATCTCGCTGGAGCAGGAGCTCGGATGGGTCGAGGCCCCGCGCCATGCGTCCAACTCTGATAATTGCAAGCTAGTGCAATATAGATAATATATACGCCCATCCAAATAATATGCATCGTTTGTGTCATATATATATATATATATATATATATATATATATATATATGTACTTGTGTGTCTGTGTGTGTACGTACTAAATGATATAAAATAACGTACTTAAAGTGTCCACGGATGCAGTTCTTAAAATCAAGCTACAAACTTAATAAAAGTAAACAGTTAAACAATAATTTAAAAGTACCAACTAAAAGATAAAGAATTCAGGTATAAGTGGGTGAGCGGCTGATTAGGTTTGCAAAACAAGCGACTGTGGCAATGCATTTCACTCAGAAAAGCGACAGCGACGAGCTGCCGTCGAAGTTATCTGATGGGCACGATAAGCTGCCAGGACGTTAGTACTAAATTGGTGTTCGGCACTCCGTCTCCGTACACTTTACTTAGGAAATTGTTTCTCGCTGACACTTTGCAAATTACATGTTGCGACAATGGACTCTCTAGCTGGTGCCATTAATGCACAGAGTATCGTAGTACAGAGCGGTTCTTCCACACCGGACCCTAGCGGTTCTTCGACAGAGGCAACCCGTTCCGTTCCCTTGATCATCACCGTCTACAAACCATAAAGATGCTCCACTCAAGGCCTGACGACTGCTGCTGCGGGAGTTTGCGACTACCGCGAATTGCGGAGTTTGCGACTAGCGCGAACTCTGGCGTCGGCGATCTGATTCGCACCTATAAACACAGCCATCCGGCCGACCGCTTCAGCAGAATCCTAATTGGCCCCGCGGCCTCGCCGGCCACGCTGTGGCTCCCACGTGGCCAGCGGCCCACGTGGGCGTCCTCTCCGTCCGTCTTCCGAACGGAAGGCGCCGCCGCGCTCGCGTCTCCCGCGGCTTTGGAATCTAGAGCGCAGAGCTCTCAATCAAGCGCCCCCCATGCGCAGGAGAGCTTCCCGAGCGGACTCCTGCGTGTCGGAGACCCACCGCTGTGTCAGGAAATGGATACCGATGAGACGGAGATCCTGCACTGCGTCTAAGTGGGTCTAACATCCTTCAGCGCAGCTCAGTAGGTCCGGGAGCCTCTCACCGCAAGCCCCGTCGGTCGGAGACCCCACTCGCGACCAGCGCCGCTGGTCGGAGACCTCGCTCGCGACCAGCATCGTTGGCCGGAGACCCCAGTCGCGACGAGCACCACCGGTCGGAGACCCCACTCGCGACCAGCGTCGTCGGTCGCAGGGGTCGTCTGGTACAGCTGCGTGGTCCGCAGCCTTCAGCCGTGTCACGCCGATCTAGGAGCGGCGCGGTGACGATAAGCGTACCAGGGCGCGGGGGCCGCTCTGAATGATTGAGGCGGCGGGGTCGGGCGGGCGCCGCCCCCAACAGACGGCCGTGGACGGCCCTCCGACCCACCGCAGCTCTTGACGCCCGAAAGGGGTCGCATGCGAGCTTGTGACAACCAGCGGCTATTTGGTCACCCGTAGCAAGGAACTAGCGGTGCGCGCAGATCAGGTACTTGGAAAATGTCAAAAGTCAAGGGATTAAGAAAGATGGGGGGGGGGGGGGGGATGGACTGGGGACACGCACTATCGCAAGGTCAAAGTTCTTGTTTTTTTTCTTTTTCTTTATGTCGTCAACGGTGACGAAGTTCCGTGAACCCTCTGGAGGAGGACGAGCTCAATTCCGGAATGATTAACCTATGGTAACCGTACGGATGGATCTCTTCTCCGACGTGGACAATACACAATATAAATGAAAAACAGCTCTTGAAAACAAGTTCTTGCGCACAGTGCTAAGTGCTTCATTTTTGTTCTGCTGTTTTTCTGGTAGTTTCTCAAGAACATGATGCTCTCGGTGGGAACAGCTCGACGACATTTTGGGAGATGCAGGAGGAAGGGGGGGGGGGAGTGGCGTGAGGGTTGTGGAGTTCATCTGCGTGTGTATGTGTGGGGGAGGGGGGTCTATGCTCGAGCTAAGTGAAACACTCCGTCCTTCGTTCATCGGCCGGGAGTGCTGTGGCTGCGGCCTGCGCCTTTTTCAACGTGGATCCCATGACCGCCGTTGACTGACGGGCTGGCCTGCTGGTACGGCAGTCCTCGTAACCTTGACGTGACCTTCCGAGCGCAGCTGTCTCACCGGCTGCCGGCATTACCGTTTTTGCAGTGGCGATGTACGATTCAGGGTGTGGATTGGTCAAGAAGAATTGTATTGTAATGCACGTGATCGGGTCAATCCATAACAGCTGGGCTATTCTCAAACCCTCTTCAACGTACATGGTTGCAGTGCAGGTCGCAAGTCCCTAAAACACGGGGCCAGGCATCCCACGTACACACTGCGTCCTACGTACACCTACTGAGAAGAAATTCAAGTTTGTCAAGTTATAATGCAAATCCAAGCATTTAACCTACGCTTTAAGGTGTTGAATAGACCTTGAGTGACACCTTTCTCAATGTACTGCTTCCCCGCGCGACGCACATATCGTTTCTCTCTATGAAAGGATATGTGCACGACTGCGTTGCCAGCAGAGCCATTAGCCGCCGTAACCGTTGTTGAGTCTCAGGCGGTTAAAATTGGATTGGGAGACGTGCTCCGAGTGAGCAGATTGAGGTCGCACCGCCCAATGTTGAAATAAAAGTTGCACGCGAACAAGGTGATCGCACTCCCAGAATCGCGGTCGACTGGCGTGTGCTTCACTTCCGTGTACATCTGTTCGCGAGCTCCGTGAGCACCTCCTCGCGTCTGACATGGTGCGCAGGTAACAGTGAGCACGCCTCCGCGCCGGAAGCGTCGCACCGTCTGCCGCGGAGGGGAGCCGCGGGGCGTGATCAGGATCCACAGCGGAGACTGTGTCTCACCTCGTCATCACAGTCGTGGCGCGTCGTCCTGGGGACGCTCCGTCCTCGTCCGAACCGCGGCGGGTGCGACCCCGGCCCCCTCCCGGGCCATCTGCCGACGACCGGCCGCTGCCAGAGGGTCTCTGATGGCACCAACCAGGTGGGATCACTCTTCTTCCGAAGCCGCTGTCCTCTGACGGTGCTCTGCTGGCGGCGGATATCCGGATGCTGTGCCGGCGCCTCGTTACTCCCATTCAGCATAGCTGCATAGTTGCTATACAGAATGTTAAGAACGCGGAGTTAAAATAAGTTAGTTTAAATGAATTGAAAAGCTAGCTTAGGCTTTCTTCACTGAAATCAATTAACACGCGCCCGGGTGGCTGGCAAGATACTATTCGCTCGCGTGGGGGTCAATAACCCCCCTGAGACCTCGGGAACTAAGAAAGCTAGAGACGCCAAATTTACATCATGTCAACCTGTACGTGAACTCACTTAGGCCCAAGTTTCAGGTCCACAAGTCATGACCTTCGGGTCAAATAAGGTCAAACAAGGTCAAATTCCAGGTCGGTCTCCAAAGTGCTCCCAGAACCTAGATAAGTGTTTCTGAGCAAAAGGCCACATGCTCATATAAGGGCAGTGACCTTGTCTGACCTTTTGCAGGTCATGGCGATAAAAATCATAGGAGACTGCTCCGAGTTTTGCATTTGAATAACCGACAAAGATTACGTTAGGCAGTATGCTTCTAAAACAGAATGTTGACCTGGGTTATTTTATGTCAACGACCTATTCTGACCTCTGAGAAGTCCATGGAATATATATGATGCGGTGCATGGTATCAATAAATTCGAAATGAGCACCAGAAACTATCCCATACAGCAAGCCCTAGAGTAATAAAACGGGTTGGTTTTACCTTGGTCTCACCGTCATAACTGACCTTAGTTCAACGCAATTTGCTCATTAAATATTTTTGTTCTCTAAGAGAGCATCTCAGCGATGTATGGTTTCGTGTAACACTCCGTTGCTGCATCGGATTGAAGGATTCCATAGAAATTGCTTTCGCTGAAACCATGATTTGATTTTGACCTGCCATAGGTCAGTGACCTTACAAGGTAAATCTTAATTGTTGATACCAAATGATTTATTATCTAATTGTCTACAGCTGTGCAAAATTTGGCGTGACTACGCCGCGCCGTTCGGAAACCATATTGGAAAAACTTCGATGGGCCAATTTGACCCCCACCCGAGCGCGTATTAATAAACAATAATGAAAAACCATGTAACATTATTTTAGCAGGGCCAGTTCAAGAAGCATGCGTTCGTTTGATCAATCCCAGTCCATTTCCCTCGCCCTGGGTTTCAAACTGCACCGTCAATCCTCCCATTTGTTCCCAAATATTAATAGCCCCATACTAGAGCATAGTGCTGGCATATCCACCCATTCATTTCTACGCTAAGTTTGACGGTGCAACTCCTTCAGCCTCACAGCACTTGTATCTTCACTGGAATCGCCCACATTTCTTCTGGAAACAATCCTGTAAATGCGAAAGAACCTACCACTGGTGAAATCCTGTCAAAAACATTTGTCCCTGAGATTGGTAGCAGTGACGCAAGCAGGAAGCACAGGGGCACGTTCCCTCTCTTTTAATTCCGAGGAGGCCCCGGATCCTTCGGTATTGACGATTAAGGGCACAATTTAAGGTATCGAAGAGCCCAAAGGGCTGGCCGCGGGTAGCATAAGAGGTCTTATACCTGCGGGTCCTCAAATGTCAGTCAAATGGCCCTTTGCGCCGATGTAAAGGGTCCCTTGTCCTTGATGCCCCTTGTCGGTCAGAGGCCTTCAGTGACCAACGGGGTGCCTTGCGTCGGCAAGTGGCCTTGAATCCACCGGGGGCTGTGCTTGTGTTTGACGGAGCTTGAAGGGAGCCCAAAGAGGGGCTCTTCGGGCCCCTCTTTGGGCTTGCTTCAAGCAACATTGTCCTGCGGCAACATTTGCCGAACACGGACACGAACTAAACCCTGAAAGCCGCAAGGCCTCTTGCGTTGGTTGCGGCACCCCATAAAATGAAATGACATATGGGAGCTTATGACCAGTTAACAATGAGACAACGCAGGGACCCTGCGTCAATAAGGGCTTTCGGTACGAAACAGGGACGCTCCACCCCGTTTCAGCTAAGGGTCCGTTCAGCTGAACTGTAGTCTCCGTACCAATGATGGGCCACTTGTGGCGATAAGGGATCCCGTTGCGTCAACGAGGGTTTCTGAATCAATCTTGGGCCAACCGCCCGGGACCGAAAACCTCCCGGATCAGGGAGGAGACCATTGTATGATACATCCCTCCAAGGACCTCCAGACCGAACAGGGGCCCCCGACCCTGTGTACCCAGAATGGCAGCCGGGAGACACCCCGCGCTAAGGCGGAATGACCCTTCAACACTTGGCCGAGAACGATGATGTGCCCCTAGTGTTCCACCCGCGGCCAACCGGAAAACCATTCGCAAAGCAATAACGGGTCTTTTTTCCGTTCAACAGAAAAGATCGAAGTGGGATCAAAATGAAACAACATCAGCCCCTTTTTGAAAGAAAGACTATCATTTTGCAGAATCGAGTCGTGAGGCACATTCCATGACGTAGTTTTGGTCATGCACGCTAGTAATCTTAGAAGCAGCAACAGCTATGGCCGGGGTTGCAGCTTGCGTAAAACGGAGTGGCGTTGGGCGCTGCAGATAACACCAGGTGGCGGGCGTCGATCAGGCGAGAACGACGTAAATAATGTTTCCGTTTTCGTGAAATAGCATTTTGAAAGTCGTTCAAAATAAATTGTGAGCATTCAAAGATAAGACAATGGCGTAAATTTCACCCTTATTATTTTGGCCTTGTCCTATGAACAGAGCAACAGCTACAACAGCACGAAAAATAGGAATTCTACCCATACTCTTCCACCACCACCAAATTCACGCACCAGTTTGCGGTGCTGTAAATGCTCATCCGTTCACATTATCAATAAAAAGATGCACATGTGGAATATCCGCTAGGAATGCCCCCTAAGCACACGAATTGACGTCCTCAAGCGTTAAAAGGTGCGCCTTTCAGAATGCGTCATCTTCGTCTGTCTGTTGGCCGTCACATAGTGTTAGCCACGGGGCTGATACCGCGGTACCCATGGACACTGCAACGCCGGACATCGAGGTCGTTATTTCTGAGACTTGG